TGTGGATGAGTCACGGCCATTGCTTGGCCAATGTGCTCTCTGTGAAAGCTTGAGAGAATGTTTTCTCTCCATGTGACTCTCCTTAGGCACACTCTACACCATCAATCACTTTCCTCTTTGGTCCCATAATCTCCTTGACATGCCAGTTGCTGCTATGATGTCTCTTGGGTAGATGGTTGTTCGAAAAGTAGGGGCTGGTGAATGAAAGCAAGAGACAGGAAAAAAAATATTGTTTGACTGTCCTGCTTCAAGGTTGTATATGGTGAGATTTTTGAATTTATGTGTAAACATAAGAAGTACATAATTCTTTATGCCTATTTTTAAAATATATTCTAATTTTTAAATGTTTTTATTATATTCCGTAGGGACTTAAAGTTCAACATATCAATACTTGATGAAAAATACCTGCTCCATATTATGCCTAAGATGTTTGATACGTAGACAGATAGTGAGGTTAAGCTTAACAGCCTAAGTTGTATAGTAATTAAAATAAGCTTGTCTTCTGGATGGTTAACAACCTAAGTTTGCAGACCAAAATTGAGAAAAAGGAGGGCTGCAAGGAAAGCCAACATTTTGGTCCTAGCCTTCTAAGGTCAATTAAGACTCAGGACATATGAGAACTTGTACTGTAACGTCATGTAACTCAATAGTGTCCCAAATTTTCTGCACCAGGACTTTTTCTTCTTGTGTCTTTTTTTATTTGTTACTCATTTTTTTAATTTATTTATTTTTTGGTGGAAACGGGGGTTGACCTCAGGCCCTTGCACTTGCCAAGGAAGTGCTTATTCCACTGAGCCATCTCCCTGGCCCTTATTATCCATTTTTTAAATAAAAAAGAAAATTTACTTGAGAGACAGTATGGTAATAATTGCTATATCATAACAAGAAGTACATAAGCAGAGGACCAGAACAACAGGCATTCCAAGCGTGACCCTTCTATTACACATTGCTATCTTCAGTCCAGTTGCTTGGTTCACAGTATCAGAATGTATAGCTAGTCAGGGTGAGAATCCTACTAATTAACTGCTAGTTTCAAAAACCTCCTAAAGTCTCTAAGTATCATTGCCTTGCCCACCTTGTGGGTATAAATGTATGGCTTTGCCCCTGTCCAGTTTCCCAGCTGTCCCAAACCAGCGGGTCAGTCAATGAAGGTCACCTGGGAGAGGAGCAGGGAATTGAGGAGGGGATAAAAGACAGGAGATGTGAGAAATGGAGACAAGACAGGATTCTGATCAAGTCTCGATTATTCAGGAGAGATGCTGGGTATATATAGGGATGTAGGAATGAGGAAGTCTCAGCTCTAGGGGTGTCAGCAGGTATCTAGGCAATGGGGGAAGGTGCCACCCCTGGTCATAGCACGTGATTCACAGGGAATGGGCAAGGAAAGAAAGACCATAAACTTAACTCAGCAGGGGAATAGAAACTTAAGAAAATGGCTGACACTATTATAAAATGGATACCAGTTAATGGCTTGCCACAGGTCCCCCTTTTCTTTTATATATGTATATAAAATATGGCTTCTTAGATGGCTGATCTCCTTGAGGGGGCAGTGCCTGTCTTAGGTCAAGGCATCCTCTACATGGACCCAACTCAAACCTTACCTGTCATAGGAGACCAGGATGGCAGAAGGTCCCGTTCTGTCTTAGGCGGTGAGTGGTGTCTTGTGTATGCCCCTCATTACCCGTCTCTGGCTAGCCTGAGCATCTCACCAAGGGTGGGAGAACTAAGAGGTCTCTGGACCTTCATTATCACAAGCTGGTTGTATTTCAGTGCAGTTTTCCCTTTCAGCCATCTCAAGCCTTTGGTAATGGACGTGTATGGGTTGCATTTTAATGGCATCCAATTGTTGTTAACGAAAGTCATCAGCCTACTGAAAAGACAGTGTCCTATTGATGAAAGTATTAAGAGTCCAATCAAAGGTACCAATAGGGGGAGGAGGTAGGTTAGTATTCCATTCCATGCGCCCCAAAAAGGATTATCAAATAGCTCTCTTCTCCTCTTAATAAGATCTTCTTGAAGTCTTTTTATTTT